CTTATCTCCGGTACCAAACTGAAATAAGTTAATAAGTCATTTTGAAAAGCTTACCCAAACACCCCCTGAATATGACAATATTAATTATATTATTAAGATATTTCATATATTTAATAAAAATGTTTTTTTTTTCCAAACATTTAATTTCAAGATTTCTTATTATTGGTAATATAATAAAAATAATTAGTTTTCTTTCATTGGGGAGATTTCCAAATTTAATGAATTTTACTCTTTTAGGCTTTCTCTATTTTATAATAATCATGTTAAATCTATCTTTTTATGTCAGAATCTAATTGATTCATGTATTGAGAATGTAAAAAATAGGGTCTTGTTTGTTTCTCAATTTTGTCTCTTAATGACCACTTATCACTTATTTGATAAGATGTTTTTGAATTCAAACTGTTTGTTTTTTTATTTTTTTCAAACCCTCTTATCCGTTATCGTCATCTGGAAAAAATTGGCAACCTAAACTCTTATTTCCTCTTATTCACTGAATACCCTCACTCTCGCCTCCAGTTCTCTCATGTCGATCTCGCCCCAAATCGAGTGCAAAGATAGTAGATCTCCAAATCGATCTCAACCCAAATCGAGTGCGAAGCTGGCCGATCTCCCCTCCAAATTTTTGTTTTGATCTTACTTTGGTTGCGGTCCTTATGGTTTGTATACTATTACACCGTTTAGTTGCCAAATCTTTATGTATTTTGTGCAAGTATAGTTGTATATTACATGGTTTACTTGATTCATGGATTTTAATTAGGTCTATGTATTTTTGATTTATGGGTTTTGATCATGGTTTACTTGATTGTAGGTTTATGTAATCTTGATTCAGGGTTTACTTAATTTATAGGGTTCTGATTCATCAAATGCATTATGTGCTCAAAGGAGTAGATTAATGCATCAGTCCTCAAGAGTTTTGGATCAGTTTTTGCCTCAGGTTTAATTCACCATGAAAGTTTTGGATAAGTTTTACATCAATTCTTAACGGATGTTTATCTATACTATATTATAAAGCATTTGGCTAAAACTCTTAAAAACTCTTAAAACTCTTAAACTCTTAAAAACTCTTAAA